AAAACAATACCTATTGAATTTCTTAAGTCCATGTTTCTAATACTTAGTGCTTTGATAATCTTTTATCAAGACTTCTTGAACTTATACACTTTTGCCTTAGATAGTTCATATGTGTGTCTTAACAATTAAGACTAATTGCCAAACCTCACAATTCAAATTATGGAAAGGGATGCCGTAACCATGATCGAATTCGAGAATGCAATTTTACAATCACTATCTTTAAAATCTTTCTTAGTGAAAGCATTTTCCCACAATCATTTTCATGAAGGAGGAAATCTTATGACACTTAGATTTAAACGGTGTATGTGTTCCTATCCATGTGAATTTGTTAAAAACCAAAGTTTACGACAAATTCAAACTCATATGGATCGAACTTTCTTAATCTTGATTTCTTGCCTTATGGTAGCACAGCTGCCCACCACGTCTTCCAAGTAGTTAAGTAGCTCACCTTTTCCTATCAATGTACTTTCCATTGATCAAGGTCCTTGCCTTTTATGCATTCAAATGAGAACTCATAGGACTCACATGCATAATTAACTCGATCGGATTGGCACAGAAACAAAATAATGTCTTCACGATAGGTTGTAAACCTCAACTCGTGTGCTAGTGATGATCAATAAGGTTTATTTGATTTGTTCTTGAAACCTTTCAAGACCATTAAGACTCATACTGACTCCTTGACATATAAGATTCTCTTGTCAATAAACATTTGTTTGACAACCAAATATTCAAGAGTTAGTGTAGCTCTAATCCTCCTATAACATTATATGTTTCTAATTAACACTTTATATCTCTAAGGTTGACTATCCATAAGAAGTCAACACAGGTCAACTCTGGTCAATGGTCAACGGTCAACGGTCAACTCTGACCAGACTCGGCGAGTGCCATGGTGACTCGGCGAGTCTAGACGTTTTCACCAACCCTCTTAAATCCCCTTACTACACGTCGAGTATTCCCCCCCTTTACTCGACGAGTTTCACCTGAATGAATCGCGGGGCTACCCCGACTCAACTCGCCGAGTCTCAAGGACAACTCGGCGAGTCCAAGTTTGACTCAGTCCACTCGTCATCCCTCTCCAACTCACCCTGACTCCCTGAGTCTACCCATGACTCGATTGGACCACTCGCTGAGCAGTCCCAAGGCAATCTTCAAGCTACTCACCGAGTCGGATGAACAGACTCGGCGAGTCCATGCCATGCAACCACTCCAACTTGCTTCTAAGGTCAGATCTACTTCCATAAACTATAGATCTGGCCTCCCTCGACTGATTCATCACGTAAAGCTCCTATCTTGGTGCCCATAACACACCCCATAGCTCATAAATGGATTTTTTGACCTAAGGCATGAGGATTCCAATCCAAAGCCTCCATTGATTCCCAAAAAGCTTGGGTAAAGGGACACTCTGGACCTCTAAGGGTCCAGATCTATGGTTCAAACCTCATAAGGGACCAAGAGGACACTAAATCTTGCCATAAAAGGGTTCAACAAACCCTAAATCTAGATAAACAACAACAAGGAAGAAGGTAACTCGGATTTATTACCATAAAAGTGATGCTCTGGACTCCAAACACACAGAAGTGGCTCCTCTTGCTTTCCCTTGGCTAGCTCTTCTCCTTCCTTGCAACAATGGCACCTCCAAGGTCAATAATGGCCTCCTACTTAGCTCCAAATGCTCACACTTGATTAGGGTTTCACTCAAGGGGCTGGTGAGCACAAATGACGACCATTAGGCCCTTTAAATAAGTCTTAAACCCGAGAAATTAGGGTTTCATTACACAGCGCTGACTCACCGAGTCCATATCCTGGACTCGTCAAGTCCAGGCGCGATCCCGCGTCCAGATCCGCGTCCCTACTCGGCGAGTCTGAGCTCCAACTCGCCGAGTCCCCCCACAAATCAACAAAAAAACAATATGCAAGATACCTGATAAGATCCGGCTGTTACAGTTATAGATACGATATGCTTTACTTCTCGGTTTTTTTCCCAAATGCACCATCATCGTACTCCGATCACTTAGTTTTGTGGAATGATTAGCCGACTTCTTCACATGTCCACTGCACCCAAAGACTTTCAGATGCTCCAGTTTTTTCCTTTCCACCCTTCATATGGAGTTATACCCTTCACCCCCTTTGTCAGAATACGATTTAACAGGTAGACTGCATGACGTACAACCTCCTCCTCCCCCTCCCCCCCATCATGTCTGGTACACTAATTGATTTCAGAAGGAACCTTGTAGCCTAAAGGGTGGTACGGTTTCGACGTTCCACCATGTCGTTCTGTGGTGGTGAGTATGGAGTTGTTAGTTATCTCTTGATTCCATGTTATTTGCAAAATACAGTGAATTGTTGGGTGGTGAACTCTCCTCCCCGATCAGTTCTCAAGCCCTTCAATTTGAAAATGCTTTCGTTTTTCACATGTGTCTTAATACTTTTGAAGGTTGCAAAGGTTTCATCCTTCATCTTTATCATGGAAACCCACATATAACGGTTGTAATCGTCAACTAATAACATGACATAGCGATTACCTATGATTGTTAGTGGATTAATTGAGCCACACAAATCGTCATGGACTAGTTCAAGAGGTTTACTTTCTCGCCACTATGCTTCCTTCTAGAATGCCTGACGAGTTTGTTTACCTACCATACACCCTTCACATACTTGTGCAGGACGCCTTATGCGTGGAACACCCCGCACCAAGTTTTTCCGTACCATGGAATCTATAATTTGAAAATTTATGTGGCCTAGTCTGGCATGCCACAACCATGTTGTGTCATCAAGACTTGCTAAGAGGTAAGAGATCACGGGTTTGGAGGTTTGAAGCACTATCTTATACAACCGGTTCTTTTATCTTAGCACTTTCATAATTAAACGACCGCCTTCATCGTGTACTCTCAAGTACTCATGAAACATTTTGATTTTATACCCAATTTTATTCGGTTGTCCCAGAGTTAAGATGTTGCTACATAATGTTAGGATGAGATACACATCAATGATCAATTGTTGTTCGCCATTTTTGCATTGCAACAAAATCGAACCCTTTCCTGCTATTTGAACTCTAGACCCTTCACCAAACTGTACCTGTCCGGTAATGTTTTCATTAAGCTTGAAAAAAACTCACGAACTCTTGTTATATGGTTGCTTGCCTCATTATCTAAATACCATATATCTTCTCCCTTCCTATTCTTTGCCTCATTTTTTCTCGAAAACACATTCTCTTTGTTTAACAACACCATGTTATCGTCTTCTTCTCCATATATAGTTAGAAGTAAGGAAAGTTCCTCTTCTTGTGTTTGAGTTAAGTTAGCTTCATCTCCATTCTTCTTTGGTGCTTTACATTTAGATGCATAATGGCCATGTTCTTCACGGTTGAAGCATTTTATATGCTTCTTATCTTTACCCTTCTGATAGTTTTTCCTTGTATTTTTCTGCCATCTGAACTCTCCACGTCCTCCTTTACCCCTAGTACTCCCTCTGCCACGTCCACCATTCCGTCCACCTCTGTCATGGGACGCTGAACTATAAGTTCTCCCGTTCGATGAACTTCCACCTGAAGTTTTCTGCACAGTTTGACCATCGGTTCTAGAAAGAAGAAGACTTCCCTTCGTGCTTGCAATCCCACTCCGGAGTCGAATGTGATCCTCATACGCCTTGAGTCTACTAATGGCTTCTTCAAACGACATAGTATCGATGTCCGAGTACTGTTCGATAGATGAAATCAGTTGGAGATACTTATTTGGTACCAAGTCGAGAAGCTTTCTAACTAATACTTCATCTTCAAGGGTATCGCCAAGGCTGATGTACTTTGAGATCATACCGCTCAATTTACCCGCGAACTCGTCTATAGACTCTCCATGTTTCATTTGCAACGCCTCAAACTCGCTTTTAAGAGTATATAATCTTGCCTTTTATACTCGATCAACACCAAGATACCTCGTTTTTAAGGAACCCCACACCTCATTTGTTGTCTTCTTCTTTGCCACCTGTAAAAAGATGTCTTCCGGTATTGCTTGGAAAAGAAAAGTCCGAGTCTACTTGTTCTTTTTCTCATCCACAACTACTCCCTCTGCTGGTTCGATGGATTCCCATATTCCCTAGGCATCCATTATAGCTTCCATCTTGATCACCCACGCGGTGTAGTTCGTGGGAATCAAGATCGGACATTAAAATGGCACTCCACCATTCTCTCTTGTAATAAGTTGGCTGGATGATGACATGGATTCGTAGCGGATGTATTTGGGCATAAACCGTATGCTCTGATACCAAATGTTGGAAATCAGACAACATGAGATCAAGCTACACACTCAAACATGTAAATTGAGTTTGGAATTAAAGGTACACACACATGGAAGAACTTTAGGAAGTTTTTATTTTGATGCTCTATTAACAGTAAAATAGAGATTAGGAATTTATAGACTACTACATTGAAAACTGAAATAAAAAACTTTAAACTAAAGAACTAAAACTGAAATACTTTACTACCTAGTTAACCACATTCACCTAATAATATGGTAACCACTTATTCATTTTTAATGCATTAAAAGCTGAGTTAAACATGAACCAAATCAGGATTAATTTCAACAACCGAATCCGCAACAAAGTGCAAACGTAAATACAACTTAAGAAGATGTAAAAAAAATGGGCCAAACTTATGATTTTGAATAAAGTACAAGGACCAAATTTTTAATTTACTCTTATTTCTATTAACAAATTCCGCACCAACTCCTTTTCCAAATAGTGATCAATACTCAATACGGTAGATCTGTGATTCATTAAATAGTTCTCCAATTTGAAAAGTGGGTAACATATAGCTTTACAACTGCAAAGAATTTCTAGAAACATGATAATTTATTAATTATACTACAAATAATATAATAATAGTTGGCATCATATCTATCTATTTCTATATGGGGTTTGGGTAGTTCAACCTATTTCGGAAGCTCCGTGACAGTTTGTGCATTTAATATAAAAAGTCAACATGCCCTCAGTTTGATCAACTACGTTCACCAACAAATACCATGCATCATCCCCTATTTGTATGTGTGTATTATATCTAAATCCTCACAAAGATTCAAAGAAATAGGTGATAGAAAAGAATTAAAGAGAAGCAAATCACGTAAGAGTTGGAAATGAAGGTGTTGAGGTCGATGCAAGCTATGTTGTTGATAATGATGACGACGTTGGCAGGGGTATTTATGGAAGAAGTAAACGCACAAGGAAGCGGTGGTGTTGGTGGTGGTGGCTCAGCCTGCCTGAATCAGCTAATTCCTTGCCTGAACTACCTGAATAATCAAGGGCAGGGACAGCGACAGGATCCCCCTGATAGCTGTTGTGATCCATTGAAATCGGTGATAAAATCCAATCCAGAGTGCTTGTGTAGTATGATAAGCAATCAAGGTACTAAAAATGCTGAGAATGCTGGTATCAATGTCACTAAGGCCCAAGAATTACCAGCAAGATGTGGTCAACGTGTCAACCCGATTTCATGCATCACCTCCACCTCTAAGACTACTCCAGGTATCACGATCATATATACATTTTTCTATCTTTCTTGTTTCTCTTCAGCAAATTTATAATCTTCATGTGTGTTTCAGGTACAAGTGATTCCCAAAGCTTGGGAAATTCCATGGTCTACTTATTGTACCCGTTGATGCTAATTATCGCAGCTGTATATGCTTGATCCATTTTATTTTATTTTTTTGTTGCATGATTAAGCCGAATGTACACTTGAGTTGCCGCTTTGTTCTTTTTCTTCATTTCAACTAGTATTACCAACAGACAGTGTATGGAATTATAATGAGGTTATGTACGTAATTTAATTGTGTTTGTGTGAATTCCCAACAAATACGATGTGTTAAATGTCATGAAAAACTCCCTCAAATCATCATCTTACATTTTGCTCCTGACATAGCCAAAAATATACATGCACATCATTTGATTGAATAAAACCTTGGCAATATTGGAGATGAAAGAGTGCAGGGAAAGATCACCAGAAGCTCCAAGCACAATAATTGATTGGCACCTTAATTATGACTGTGTCCGTTCCATCGTTAAGGCTTGAAAGATGAACTATATCACGCTTGATTGTAGCTCCTTCCTGCAACACAGAACAAACAAAACAAACTAGAAATAATTCGAAAGAAAATCAGTTACTTATGATCATCAGAAATACGATCAGATTTCACAACTGAGATTAAACATAAACAGTGTTATACTAAACCTATAATTAAGTTAGCAAAGACAATTTACCAATTCTTCTCTAAATTTCAGTTAATAACCATAGAGATTTATATATAACCAAAAGAATGCTATGCATTCTAAACTGTACATATAGTGATAGGAAAGAAATGTAGTGGAATTTATCAAAATGAATTCAATATATGACCAAAAAAGCAGTTCAAATCTAGCAATATTATTTCAAACATAGTATTTACCTAATCACAGCACCATGTGAAGTGAAGATCAATAAAATCATGAGAACTGAAATCAATGATCTCTAAATTCGTGAGGTATTGCTATTGCGAGCTCGCTGATGTTGTTAATCGTGATTAGAAGGATAGGTCTAAGGAATCTGAAACTGATCGAAAGCTGTGTTCTTCACCGACGAGCAGATATGTAGTGTCGCCGGACGTTTTCCGCTTATTGGACGACTGTCGTAGACGACGCATGTGTCCTGTATATATTGTTTTCGGTATATGGCTTCTATCCCATAACTTCGTTTAAATGAAAGAGCATTTTAAACCCAGAAGTTCGTATAATAGACATGTTTGCTCCCTCAAATAAGTTTATTCTTCAAAAAGTCCTTGGTTCTTTAGCAAATTTTAATTACAAATTATCACATAAAGCTAAATATGCTCTATTCTAATTCGAAGTAAGTTTCTATAAGCTTGAACTTAACTTACAATATGTTCCGAATTTGCTTTTTGTCCTCAAACTCGACAAAAAACGATTTGAAATAACTTGTAAATAATCTTAACCTTTTGGAGCCCTAAGTGTAACAAGTGGACGTATATTTTTCTTTGAAATCAACTATGATAAATTACTTAATTGTATTTTTTTTTAATTGTTGGTTGAGAGATTATCAATTTGAACTATTTTGTAATTTATTTTTCTATAAATCAAAGCTTGTATTTGTCTTTTTATTGATGAAATGGAATAAGTTGCATAAATTCGCAACCAAAAAAAAAAAAAAAAAAGCTCATCTTGGCTTACTGTTTATGATCCTATCTTGGGTTGGCTCTTTAGGAGATTTTGTTTGCTTAGTACAGAAATAGATCTATGATCACATATTCACATGTGGCTTAAATGTTCGCTTTATCTGTTTGCATTGAACAACTGTATATATAAAACATGATAAAGTTGGTTTTACTAACTGCGGTTTAAATTTTTTAGAATTCTTGCTATTGCATTTAGCACCAAAGTTAAGGTTATACATGTGGTTTTTTTTGTGAATTTGTTTCCAAGTCATTAACTTTTATTTGAATAATAGGTACAGCCCAAAAAGACATAGTAGGTCAGTCAAGACTCAATGACACACAAATGTACGCATTAAGGGACTACCACATACCTAAAGACAAATTTAAGAGGTCAAATATAATGTGTTTAAAAAAAAAAAAGATGCAAAATGAATGGACATTGCATCAACAGTATCAGTTCAGTAATTTATTTTCTATTTGACCCATTAATAACCAAGCCAAAAAGATTTTTAGAAGCTTGTGGAATTGCTGCCAAAAATAAAACAATGTCCAAGAGTAAATATTAATTTATATAAAAAGTCTTGATCTTCAATCATTTGTTGTAACTAATTATCTTATTAGCATTTTCAAACGTCTATATATATGACGTATCACCTTGTGAATGCACATCCGAAAACTCCCTTTACAAAACTCATATACAATAACGTTACATCTATTAACATAAAAGACAACCTGAAATTAAATTAGTTCCAAACAATGAATTGATAAAGACTTGGTAATACTTTACAATTACAATTTAAACCTTAACAAGATAATCAATAAAGATGATCTCCATTCTCCCCTTCTAATAGTGCTTTACAAACCAAATCAAGTTCCATTTAGATTACAATTTATAAAGACTTTTTTTTTACCTTGAAATGTCACATTTTCAACCACTTTGGCTTCACCATCTTCTTCTCGCCAGCTGGCTTCAGTACTGGAGCAGCAGCCATCACAACAGGCTCGGGAGCAGGTTGATCAGGCTCGGGTTTTGGGTCGGGTATAAGGCCATCTAGATCTTTTAAAGCCATGACATCCTCTTTAAGAAATGGGCCTTGTGCAACGATAGTATCATCACCTTCACATACAACACACACCATTAAATACATTTTATCAAGGTTTATACAATATTTTATTCAGATACGTAGGAGAATGCAACAAGTATCAACCTTGTGGTAGGTCATATGAAAAATAGACGATTGCACCAGGAGCAAAACCAGCAGAATAGAAATCCTGAGACATGTTCTTTATTTGCTTCTTGGGAGGTATAGTATCTGTAAGAAAAAAAAAAAATGCCAAGAATGCCCTTATATATATTAAGTCATTTTCACTATGCTTTATTAAGTTATATTGTATGCTCACATATATAGAAAGGGAGGTCTGGTCGAGCCACAACTTTCACAAGAAGATCAACTAAACTTTGCATTGTCTCTGTTGGATGGAATGTGGCTTCTAATGTGTGGTTATCTGGGAACCTTATACGAATCACTGCCTGTATATTATATAAATAAATGAATTGATGAAAATAATATAAGTTAGTTAGTTAGTTAGTTACATCATACTTAAAATCATAATCTGAAAACGAAATTTTACAAAAAAAAATAAAAAGAAATTGCTTCCCAATTTAAGTTAACATCTACCTTGGTAATTCTTGATCTACTAGCTGCTGTTTCTGCGTCTCGAATTTTCTTTGTTTTCAAATATTTATCTGCTCACAATTGCGCATAATTTGTGATGAAAAGAGCAAATAGTATTGCAACAATAACTAATAGAAGAGATATAGATGCATATAATTACAGTATTACACCCACCTTCTTTTTTAGTAGCCAAGATGCGATAATAATCTGCAGTGGTGAATTCCAGGTCATCTGGTTCCTCTGTCCAAATGATAAAGAACATGTTCATGTGAGTGAAATCAAATGATGACTTATTAGTTACAGGGGAAGTGAACTTCCTACCACTGCCAGAGACATCATTTGATGTTTGAGAGATTGTTGCTGTTGTTGTCTCGAATACACGGATTTCCCGACCATAAGTTTGTTTTGCAGCAACAAGCTTTTCCTGAATTAAAGATATCATCAACACTTAGTATCATCATTGCAAAACATCAGGCATTGTAGATCCAACATATAATAGCTAAAAAAAACATGAAGTCTTGGCTTTTGTCAATTCTTTACTTTTCTTAATGCTTCAATTGGTTGTATATTCAAATTCTAGCAGTTCCAAACTAGATATAGATTGTCTACTTGTAGAAGAGATCGATTATGTCCAGGGTCAATAGTAAGTCAAACAAATAACTTTGTACGTAGGAACCTAGTATATGATTTCAAATCTGTTTACCAATTACACAAGACGAAAATAAGTTAAGCAATGTTGTTCTTATGTTCCGATTTAATTGATTTTTAATCGGATACTTTAAATAATGTATTGGTTATTGATTATGCTGACCAACAATTTTAAATCGGATAATAATTCTTGAACCCTAATTGATTGATTTTCCGTGATTCTTATGAAACCGATAGAAATACTTTACAGAAGACACAAAGATTCAAACAAGATAAACCCTATCAGATTCGATCAACGTTTCGGAAAAACTAGAACAAAAACGAAACACAAACCATAGCAAGTTGATCGGCGAATCTCCTCCGTTTTAGAGCTGGAGAATCAACTAACATCTGCGAACCCAGCAATCGAAGCCTGGGAATATCTCTTGCGTCACGTCTGTCACTGCAGAGTTAATTCGTTTGGGCTGTCGTCTTTTTTATTGTCCCCTGAGCTGATGGACTTCGCGGGCCGGTTACTCCACGGTCTCTCCCATCTGGCCAGGCCCATATTTCTCTTTTTGTTCTTGGAGTTTGTTTGTGTTTGTCAAAACATATAAAAAAAAAAAAGGGAATTTGACTTAGTAAGGTAATTAAGTATTTCAAATGTTCACATATGGGTAATATTGTTTTTTTTGTACTCATTTACCCAACAAACTTGTTTCAGCCGTTCAAAAATAACCAACATTACCGGCTATTGTAAGTTTTGGGTGATGTGGCATCTACGTGGCTTGTACGCTACAATACTCATCACCTACGTGGCATTGAGAAGTGCTTACATTATAAGAGGGTAAGATACGACAGTTTATTAATTAAAACCCTAGATCGATCGATGGCATCTTCTTCCTCATCCTTTTCTTCCAAACGACAAGACGAATTACAACCGGATCATCCATGTGATTGCGATTTGCCATCTCGTGTGAAGACATCAAGAACCCCAGACAATCCTGGAAGGAAATTCAGAGTTTGTCAAAACTCACTGGTAATTCATATTTTTTACTTCTTCTTCATCCTTCAATTTAACATGTTCTTATAAATTTCTTGAAGAATGGAAAAAGTCCAAGCTGTAAATTTTGGCAATGGTTGGATGAGGATGAAGGGAGGAAAGATGGAAGAGGGCATTACAGGATGAAAGCAGAAGAAAGCTGCAATCTTACCTTGAAAATTTGTACCTTGGAGAATGAAATCAGCATATGTAGGATGAAGATTGAAGAAGAGAAGAACAGGAATAAACAAGAACTTGACAAAGTCAACTGGAAATTGTTTACCCATAGACTTGCATTAATTTTCTTGTTTCTCT